ATTAAAGACATTGCGTTACTTTGGCTTGTAACAGCATGAAAACATCCTGAGCCTGGAAGTTCACATCCCACCATCAGCATCCTCGCTCCCCTCCCTCCTTTCCTCGCACCCCAAGGGTTTCGCGAGCGCGCACGCGTGCGAACCTGCGTGGGAATGGCTGTTCGTGTGATCGAAGGGGCTGGGCCGCTCGGAGCGAGCGGTGAGCTGCATGAGTTTGAAATGTCCGCCATGTTGGCCATGGCGTATTGAACCGGGCAGGAACAGCGGAGCGTAGGAGCGAAAGAGACCGATAGAGAGCGACCGAGACCCGGGCCTGCCCGGCTCTGTTCGCGCTGCCACGGACCTAAGACGACCGGCTGACTTGAGAGACCGCCACAGATTCATCCATGAGAACTCGAAGCAGACCTGCTGTTAATCTGAGCAGATCGAATAGATTTATGCTGCATCTTTTATTATAAAAAAAATGAGTAAATTGTCGTTTCGGGCGCGGGCGTTGGATGCTTGTAAGCCCCTGCCCGTTTTCCGCTGCGAGGATTTGCCAGACCTGCACGAATATGCCTCTATCAACCGGGCAGTGCCACAGATGCCAACTGGGATGGAAAAAGAGGAAGAATCGGTATGTTATTTCATTGCTGCGCGGCTGCTGGTGGGTCATTTTGACAGTGAAACGAGGGGCGCCACTATGTTGCCTGCGCAAGCTTGTGCAAAATGGCCGCCTTATCTTCTGTTTCGAGCACACGACGTATCTCGGTGAATACTGAGTTTAGCTGAATTGTAATGTTATATACTGTGTTATAAGCTAGCCGCGCTTTGAAATCCTGTTAGTAAGTCGTGTTTTAACCATTTATTTAAATTTAAACTGTGCCTGAATGCACAAAGRAGTCACGTGACTTGTATCCGCGCCACCATTTTGTTGACTTTCTCTTAGCGAAAGGCCTCGAACGTGGTGTAAGCCCGCGGAATGAACGCCAGGTGGCGGCACTGAGCCTCCAGGTCAGTTTGACAGCTCGGTGTCTTCACAGTTTGCAGCTTCCCCGCCATGTGTGCTGCGCTCTGTCTGGGGTTGTGAATGCAGTAAAAAAGAAATTACGTGAAGTCATAGCATGCGCTACACCTGGCCATCAGATATGCGCTTATTTTTAGATGTAGTCAAGAGTGTTGGTTTATAGAAGCGTATTATTTCTAAGACTTGCAGACTATAACACTCTTCTGAAAAGTGCAAGAAACTAACTTTCTTTTAAATTTGAACTCTTATGGTTTAGAAATCACAGTAGATTCTGCAAATATTATGTTTTAAAGGGGGTATTTTTGATTTACCTTAAATTCTACCTTAAATGTTTTCTCTAAAGCGGTCGTGTAAAATACAGTAGTTAGAACTGGTCCAGATACAGCTTTTAAAAGTATCAGTCTATTTAGTTAATTTTGTCAAATTTGAACTAGTTGCTAAGTAGTATTTGTAATGAAATTTTATGTGAGAACCTCTGTCAGTTCTTGTTTACTCTTTAATCCCTCTGTAACGTCTTTGCCGAGATGCCACAGCAGACAAAAACACAAGGAAAGCACTGACACAATGCACAGTCAGCAGAAATCCCCTCTCACCCCCCCACACCTAGCCCTCTCCCACCTACTGTACACACACAGAGTGTCATTACATAACAGAGTGCCAGAAGAGATAAAGAGGGCAGATTTACTACAAGAGGCAGTGCTTGGCTTAGCTTCCTGACCCACATCCACTCAGGCAACATTTTTGGGTTGATATGCTGAGCAAACTTAATTAAGATATTTTAGTGATTTAAGGTAGGAAAGGAAAGGGAATGCTGTGTGTGATGTTTTAGCGATAACAAAAGCATACTTGCGAACACTGTCGATTTGCATTTGGTTCTCTGGAAATAATTATTTCTCATCCTGCATTTGGCCTGTATGTGTCCTTTTATCAATATTGTTTGTAATGGGGATAGATTCACAAAATTCTAGTTAAGATGTCTTTGTCTTCTCTTGGTCGGTGTAAACTCCACAAACACCTGCAGGAAAAACATTTTTTGTTACCGTGGTAACTCATAATGGTCTCATCTGTTTTTCTTGGTAACATGTAATGGAAAGAACAAGTGGTGCTTCAAAAATACATTTTCCTTTCTCATCCCCGTGTGCATTCGTGGCCATGACAGGAAATAGAATGCTGTTGTGAGGCTAATGTTCTTGGATATTTACATGAAAGAACTGCCTTTTAGTGCATTAAACCTAATTATTAAAAATATATTTGACAAAGTGGAGAATCAGTACTACAATCAAATGCGTAGTTGGCATAGTTCTTTTATTTTATTTATTCTTTTACTAAAGTTCATCCTTAAAGTATAGATCTCATGTAGTAGGCAGGTTGTGTAAAAATGTATCTGTGAAAACACCATTCCTGCGGAACACTACAGATTGTTGCTCAACATAAACGTTTACAGGATACCCGTTTAAGAGTTTTTTTTTTCTTTTTGAGCAAGATGCTAAAGCACTTTTGTAAAATGTGAAAATGGTGCATCTCAAWTTGTGTTTGTTTTGTAAAGTAAGACTACAGCTTTTGCTTTTATAGGTTAGAATATGGTTAAATTCTGGCCTGTAAAACATTATCTGTATCATCAGGTCCTGCTTTTGTCCCTGGTTTGCCCTTTCACAGATGTACTAGATAATGGGAAGCTATCTGTGTCAGACGTGTTCTCACTGCTGAAGATAAAAAGCCATGGCACTTGGTTCAGCAGGTTGCAGGGAGACGGGACTAAGGCTGCCACGATTAATCGATTAATCGACGACTAATCGATTATTAAAATAATCAAAGACTAATTTAATAATC